CTCACTTAACTCTCAATATAACTTTGATAATATAACTTTGGTGTAAAATTTCAAGTCTTGAAGCCTACTATTTATAGGCAAAACTTTTGAATTAAAATATTTAAAATAAAATTCTGATTTAAATCATCATATTGACTATTAACATTAACCATCATCATCATCTCATCAACCTTAACCAATTTCTCATCAACTTTCCAACAATTTCTCATCTAACTATCATCAACTTCTCATCAACTATTAAGACAAGATTAGTCAACACAAACATCAGCTCAACATTTATAATTGACATATAATACATGAATTTACTATAAATTATGATATTAATTATCAATTTCTAACATAATCTATATGCATAATATAATAACACTTTAAAACTCAAATAAATCATAATCTTCACTATAATATCATGCATAATAAAATGATTATAATGAACTATAATTGGCACAAAAACCAAAAACTCGAAAATCTGAAATTTTTCTAGTCACACGACTCGTGTCACTTTGCCACACACTCGTGTGACTTCACACGACTCGTGTCACTTGGTCACACGACTCGTGTGAAAAAGTCGAACTTAAAATTCTGATGCTCCAGACTCACACGACTCGTGTCATTAGGTCACACGACTCGTGTGACTTCACACGACTCGTGTCACTTGGTCACACGACTCGTGTGAAACTCCCGTAACTAACTTTGAAAAATACCTTGAGCCACACGACTCGTGTCACTTGTGACACGACTCGTGTGACTTCACACGACTCGTGTGGCTACCCACACGACTCGTGTGACTTGAAAAACTTAAAATTCTCAACTTAAAATACTCAATCTTGAAAATTAACTGAAAATAACTGATGAGGAATATTACAATCTACCCTCCTTAAAACTATTTCCGTCCTCGGAAATACTGAAACTGAATACTGAAACTGAAAACATACCTGACATCAAAACTCGAAATCTGGAAATCGAGCTCTAATATCAGCTTCTTGCTCCCAAGTGGCATCTGAATCTCCGTGGCGATTCCATTTGATACGAACGAGGGGAACATCTCGTTTCCTGAGCCTTTGAACCCTTCGGTCCAATACTGCTATAGGCTGCTCCTCGTAAGTCAAATCTGGCTGAATCTTAATCTCATTGTGCTGAAGCACATGATCAGGATCGCACACGTAAGCACGTAACATAGATACATGAAATACATTATGCACACTTGCCAACTCGGGAGGTAAAGCTAATCGATAAGATACTTCCCCTACTCGTTCAAGAACTTCGAACGGGCCTATATACCGGGAAAACAACTTACCCTTCTTCCCAAAACGAATGACGTCGAACTTTAAGAAAAACTTTATCTCCTTCTACGAACTGCATATCTCGCCGATGCTCATCAGCTGTAGACTTCTGTCGACTCTGAGCCGTCTTGAGTCTGTCTCGAATCCAGGCTACTTGCTCCACTGTCTCCTCGATCATCTTCGGACCAAGTACTAGCTTCTCTCCAACTTCTTCCCAATAAATGGGCGAACGACACTTGCGGCCATAAAGTGCTTCGTAAAGAGCCATCCGAATGGATGAATGGTAACTGTTGTTGTAGGAAAATTCTACTAACGGCAACCATTTCTCCCACTTGAAACCTCTATCCAGAATGCAAGCTCTAAGCATATCTTCAAGCGTCTGGATCGTCCTTTCGGACGGGCCATCTGTCTGTGGATGAAAAGCTGTACTGAAACTCAACTTTGTGCCCAAAGCTTTATGCAAACTCTTCCAGAACCCGCTAGTGAACCTGGGATCACGGTCAGAAATAATAGTAACAGGCACCCCGTGGAGTCTAATGATTCCACGAGTATAAATCTCAGCTAACTTCTCCATTGACATGGTCATTGATACAGGCATAAACCGAGCGACTTTCGTCAATCGATCTACTACTACCCAAATCGCATCATGCTGCTCAGACGACTTAGGTAGCCCCGTAACAAAATCCATAGTCACTTCTTCCCACTTCCACTTGGGAATTTCCAATGGCTGCAACATGCCTAATGGACTTCTGTGCTCGGCCTTAACTTGTTGGCATACCAAACACTTCTTCACGAAATCTGCTACACTTCTCTTCATTCCCTTCCACCAAAACGACTTTTTCAAGTCATGATACATCTTGGTGCTTCCGGGATGAGCTTGATAGGGTGCGCTGTGTGCTTCAGTCAAGATGTCCTTTCGCAAGGCCTCGACTTTTGGCACAACGATCCTTCCTCTAAATTCCAAGGCTCCATCTGTACCTTGGTAAAAACCTTCAACTCCTCCAGCTCGAACTTTCTCTTCTATCTTCCGAATGAATTGATCAAACGCTTGCTCCTTCCGGATTCTGTCTCTTAGTGTGGGCTGAACTTGCATCGAACTGATGCTTCCGGAAATCTCCTTGGGCAACTTCTGAACAACTTCTATCTGCAACCGAGCAAACTCTTGAACAAGTCGGTTCTGTCGAGTAATACAACAGGCCAACTCACCCTTAACCTTACGGCTTAGAGCATCTGCTACAACATTAGCTTTACCAGGATGATAATGAATGGTGCAATCATAATCCTTCACTAGCTCCAACCATCTTCTCTGGCGCATATTGAGCTCCTTCTGCGTGAATAAGTACTGCAAACTCTTGTGATCAGTGAATATCTCACACTGGCCACCATAAAGATAATGCTTCCAAATCTTGAGCGTGTGCACCACTGCTGCCAACTCTAGATCATGAGTTGGATAATTCTGCTCATGCGGCTTCAATTGTCGCGATGCAAAGGCAACAACTTGACCGTCTTGCATAAGAACACATCCAAGACCCCTTTTCGAAGCATCACTATAAATAGTGAAACCTCTAGAAGGATCAGGGATAATTAATACTGGAGTTGATGTGAGCTTCTTCTTAAGCTCCTGGAAACTCTTCTCACAATGGCTAGACCACTCGAACTTCACAAATTTTCTCGTTAAATTCGTCAAAGGGAGTGCAATTTTTGAAAACCCTTCGATAAATCTACGATAATAACCTGCTAGTCCAAGAAAACTTCGAACTTCTGATGGATTCTTCGGCACAGTCCAATTCTGAATTGCAGAAATCTTCGCTGGATCAACTTCAATGCCCCTCTCCGTGATGATATGACCCAAAAAGGCCACCTTCTTCAACCAAAACTCACACTTAGAGAATTTGGCATATAACTTCTCCTTTCTAAGGGTACTGAGGACAACCCTTAGATGATGCTCATGCTCTGCTTGACTCTTGGAATAGACCAAAATATCATCAATAAAGACAATGACAAATTGGTCTAAATACTGGTGGAACACACGGTTCATCAAGTCCATAAACACCGCTGGTGCATTGCTTACTCCAAACGGCATCACTACGAACTCGTAATGACCGTATCTTGTCCGAAACGCAGTTTTAGCTACGTCGGATTCCTTAATCTTCAGTTGATGATAGCCTGAACGCAAATCTATCTTTGAAAATACGCAAGCTCCTCTCAACTGATCGAACAAATCATCTATCCTTGGGAGCAGATACTTGTTCTTGATCGTTAACCGGCTTAATTCCCTATAATCGATACACATTCTCATGGATCCGTCCTTCTTCTTGACAAACAGCATTGGTGCTCCCCATGGTGAAACACTTGGTCTGATGAAACCAAGTTTCAATAATTCTTGAATTTGAGTCTTCAACTCTTGCAACTCCTTTGGTGCCATCCGATAGGGTGCCTTCGACACTGGCGCTGCTCCTGGAACCAAATCAATAGTAAATTCCACCTGCCTGCGAGGTGGTCCCCCTGGTAGCTGATCCGGGAACACATCCACAAACTCACGAATAATAGAAACATCATGAGGTGTTTGTGCTCTCGAACCTTCGTCCATGATACTCACCAAGTAGCCTTGACATTCCTCCCATCTAACAATCTTCCGTGCCTTCGCCATGGAAATCACCTGAGGCAACATTCGCATCTTGGAGCCGAAGAAAGAAATTTGATCACCTTCTGATATATATAGAATCACCTCCCGGTCATGACAATGAATATCTGCTCGATAACGCGTTAGCCAATCCATACTGATAATAAGATCAAAATCCCTCATCTCGATAACATATGCGTCGATTCCCAAAACACGACCTCCAATATTGAGATAAAGATCTCGTGCCATGGAACTTGTCACTATTTTTCTTCCTGAGGCTAAACTTACCTCAAGAGGATCAACAGTGTCTAGGAGTTGAACTCCTATGGCTTCTATACATTGTTTTGACACGAAAGAATAAGATGCTCCCGTGTCAAACAATGCAAAAATAGGAAAATTATTAAGAATAATCATCCCAGACATGGTACCTGGGTTTTCTTCTGCCTGGGCCTGCTCCACTGCATAAATTTGGGCTTGCTGCCCAGCTCGCCTCGGCTGCTGAGGCTGCCCCTGAGGTTGAGGTTGCTGCTTATCTGGACACTCCTTAGTCATATGGCATGGCCTTCTGCAGTTATAGCAAATATTTTGCCCAGCTAAACATTCTCCACGATGAGGACGCCCACAAGTGCCACACGTTGGGAGTCGTGGTTGGTTAGCCGGACCTGGATGTCTCTGGTTGCCCTTAAACTTCCTCTTGTTCTTGTTCTTGCTTTTTGCAGGTTGGTCCGGCATAGGCTGTACTGGAGAATTGACTGGAACTTGGGGAATTGGCTGAACTGGAACTGAAACTGGACCATCTCCCCTTCTGAAACTAGCATCCACTTCTTGAGCCTTAGTCACCACATCAGCATAGTTCTGAATGCAGTGCCCAGCAACATGATGGCGGATTTCTCGAATTAACCCTTCTTGAAAGCGCCTAGCCTTCTTGGCCTCTGTGTCTATCAGATAACTGACAAACGATCCCAACCTGGTGAATTCTCGCTCATATTCTCCAACAGGACGATCTCCTTGCTTTAACGCCAGGAATTGACGTTCCATCTCAGCTCGGTAATGAGCCGGGTAGTACTTCTCTTCTAACATCTCCTTGAATTGGATCCAAGTAAGATGCTCCTTCTCACCAGGACGCATGCCCCAGTAAGCATTCCACCATAGTCTTGCGTCTCCAGTCATTTGAAGCTGCGCGCAAAGAATACGGTGTCTGTCTGTGTATTCAGTGATCTCGAAGATAGACTCCAGACCCTGAATCCACTCCTCAACTAGTCGAGGATCTCCATTTCCCGAGAATTTCTCTAAACTGAATCCTCGGAATTGGGCAACGACTTCAGCGGTCGTCATTTCTCTTCTACCTTGAGGTGCCATCTAATAAATAAACTTAACACACTCAAAAAAATATTACCAATATATTATAATTATTTGAGCATCTCATATGATAAAATTCGGACATCTGATTCTTATCGAGCATAGACTTAGAAATTTGCATATATTTAAACTTTACAAAAACTCTTAACGACACTTACCTGGTAGTCGGCGAGAGTGTGAGCGTGGTGTGGTTGGTTTTCCTGAAAACTTTCTTTTTCAAAACTTAAACTTTTAGTATACAGAGCACTTTGAAACTTTAGCTCTGATACCAACTGTAACACCCCGCTTATCAGAGTAAAAAAATTTTTTTTTAAATTATCTTAACTCGAGATGCTACTAAAACTCATCTTTGTTAAACTAGTATGATAACTTATCTCGTTTATAAAATAAACAAGAAAACTTTCTTAAATAACAAACTTCAAATCACACCAGTTCAAACTTACTATACATAGCGGAAGTCTTTAAGCGTGGCATTTACAAACCGTTGCCTTATTGAATTTCACAAGCACACTTTAATAAACTCACAACTTGATATAAAATCCATTTGTATAAGTGAAATCATAACTTGAAATACAACCGACACCTCCACAGCTCAGCTCACACCCTCGGCTCGACCCTATTACCTGAAAATGATAATAGTGGGACGTGAGTACTAATCAATTGTACTCCGTAAAAACTCATACTAAAGCAATCATTGATAGTAATTTCAACATCATGATCATAGGTATATATAAGCTTAAACTGAAATCTCCCGACTCTATGTCGGTAACTGAACTGAATCTCTCGGACACTTTGTCCGTATCCTTGTGCACAATCTAATGAAGGCTGGCCTTCACCAAAACTCGGGATTGCATATTAAGGCTACTGCGCCTCCACCCAAAGCGGATAACTCATATACATACCTTTGAACATGATCTAGCTATTATACTCAATGAAATACCCAGGCTGGGTTCCCACCTTTCGTCTTGAACTGATTGAAAACTGAAAGTGTTGTGCTTGTAGCCAAACTTCTCGCTACATAAAAATATAAACAAATATACTAAGTACTATGCTCGACTACTCTAACTCAACTGACAACTCATCCGAATAATATACATGCCATAGCTCGAATAACATAATACATTGAATAAATCAATTTCTTGATAGACTTTATCCAAGTTACTTATTTAACTCATATGGATCATGTTTCATCAATAAAAATGATGCCTATAAGACTTGTAAGTGAAAATACTCAAATTCACATACAAACTCAAATCAACTCATGATTCATAATTTCTTAAACTTACTCCTCATAATAATCAATTTATAACTAAAACTTAATTTACATGCTTGCCAATATATTAATATCAAAACTCATTAACATATTAATCATGTAAAAACTCATACTCTTACACTTAATATGAATCATATTAAACTATCAATTTTAAACTTTATCAACTTATTAACATGATAATTCATATGAATTTCTATTGATAACATGAAATAACTACTAACATGCTAACAAATTAACTTATATCTCATACATGATATCAAAATATAACTTATACTAATCATGGCATAACACATAATTGATTCTCATATCAATATAAGTTCCATAAATCATATTAACATGCTTACTATTAACATGTATTTATCTCAAATACAAGAATGAATTACCTCCTTCAAGGACTTGAGAAAATTGAAAGAAAGACTTGATATGAACTTGAAAGACTTGAACTTGAAATTTGCAAGACTTGAACTTTGAACTCCTTTACTCCAAAAGCTTTGCCCTCAAAAATCCTCACTTAACTCTCAATATAACTTTGATAATATAACTTTGGTGTAAAATTTCAAGTCTTGAAGGCTACTATTTATAGGCAAAACTTTTGAATTAAAATATTTAAAATAAAAATCTGATTTCAATCATCATATTGACTATTAACATTAACCATCATCATCATCTCATCAACCTTCACCAATTTCTCATCAACTTTCCAACAATTTCTCATCTAACTATCATCAACTTCTCATCAACTATTAAGACAAGATTAGTCAACACAAACATCAGCTCAACATTTATAATTGACATATAATACATGAATTTACTATAAATTATGATATTAATTATCAATTTCTAACATAATCTATATGCATAATATAATAACACTTTAAAACTCAAATAAATCATAATCTTCACTATAATATCATGCATAATAAAATGATTATAATGAACTATAATTGGCACGAAAACCAAAAACTCGAAAATCTGAAATTTTTCTAGTCACACGACTCGTGCCACTTTGCCACACGACTCGTGTGACTTCACACGACTCGTGTCACTTGGTCACACGACTCGTGTGAAAAAGTCGAACTTAAAATTCTGATGCTCCAGACTCACACGACTCGTGTCATTAAGTCACACGACTCGTGTGACTTCACACGACTCGTGTCACTTGGTCACACGACTCGTGTGAAACTCCCGTAACTAACTTTGAAAAATACCTTGAGCCACACGACTCGTGTCACTTGTGACACGACTCGTGTGACTTCACACGACTCGTGTGGCTACCCACACGACTCGTGTGACTTGAAAAACTTAAAATTCTCAACTTAAAATACTCAATCTTGAAAATTAACTGAAAATAACTGATGAGGGATATTACACAGCGCGCGGGGATGACTTGGGCAGCAAGAAAAGGAGTCTTTTTGGGGTCTTTTGAGCTGAAATTTCTCTAGATTATTCTTCCCTACTTGGAGTGCAAGTCAAGACACAATATCCCCTTGTTATTTAATTTCCTTATTGCTTTATGAGATCTAGATTGTTTAGGTTACTTAATATTTTATTGCTTTATTACTTCCCTAGGTAGATTAGGATTAGACATATTGTGTGCCTATATAAAGGCCCCTTCCCTCTTGTTATTTTTAAGAGAATGATGAATTGAATCTTGAATAGTCATAATTAGTAGTTAGTAGAAAATTCTAAACCTTTGTTCAAACACTTTGCTTTAGTTTTTCACCAAGAATCTATTACAATTTTATTCGTTTCAAGAGGCGCGGTTGTGGCTCGAGAAGCACCTATCGGCGATTGAAGGCGCGGGCAAGCGGCTTATCGGCAGTCGGGACACGCGATCTTCATCATTGGTGCTTTCATTGAGAGTTGATTAGATCTTGTGTCTTTTTTCTTCCCCATTCTTTTTCTTTTCCATTCTTTTTATTTTCGTTCAATTCAAAAAAAAAAAAAAAATTCCTTCAAACACGAGTCCGCGAAGCAAAGAGCGAAGAGAAGAGAAGAAAGCCATGGCCAATCGAGAGATGAAGGAAAAAATCGAGAGCTTTGAAGGCCAATTCAAAACCATGAGCGAATCTGTCGATGCGAGGTTCGAAGCCCTAACCAGAGAGCTCGTCGACACCAAGGCCGCCATAATCGATCACCGCACGGCGTTGATGGAGGCCATCAACCAAAGGTTCGACGAACTCTTGAGGAATTTCCAAGGCCATCAACCACCACGCCACGACAATCGGCCACCACCGCACGATGATCGACCACCACCATTCGACGCTCGACCACCTCCACATGGCGATCGACCACCCCCGCATGGTGCTCAACCACCGCCCCATCCACACGACCAAGCTAGGAGAGAGTTCGAGCAATTCGAGCGCGAGCAGGAGGAGGAGTATGAGAGGAAATCACAGGCCTCGAATCATCAAGGTCGCCCACGTATCGAGAAACCGAGGCTTGTGTTGTCCACGTTCAACGGAGAAAACCCCGACGCATGGCTTAACCGAGCTGCGTAATATTTTGACATCAACGAGACGCCTTGGTATGAGAGGGCCAAGTATGCTGCCTATTATCTAGACGGAGAAGCCAATGTTTGGTGGCAATGGCTCGTGAGTGTCTACCAAGGCAACCCGCTCCACATCCCATGGGGAGAATTTGAGCGCGAGCTACTTGCTCGATTCGGGTCGGCCGACTACCATAGCTACGATGAGGCACTTTCACACATCAAGCAGACAGGAAGTCTTCGAGACTACATGAAAGAGTTCGAGTGACTCGCCTGTCGGGTGCGCAACTGGCCGATCTCTGCACTCATCGGGACTTTCATAGGTGGGCTCAAATTCGAGCTAGCCGCAGAAGTAAGGCTCGACCAACCACGGACCATGCGCGACGCCATGGAGTCTGCGCGAAGGAGGGATGAACACTTAACGGCCACACGAAGGATCGGGCGAGAGAGTGTGCGCAACTTGGAGCAACGACGCGCGGACCAACACTTGGACGAGCGCACAATCAAAGACAGCGCACCATCAAACGTGAGCAACGTCCATCCCAACCCGCGACCGCCGAACAACTTTCGAACGCCACCTCCGGGCGTTAAACAACTCACGCTCGAGGAGATGAGACGCCGACGTGAGAAGGGTCTCTGCTACAAATGCGAAGAAAGGTTCACCCCAGGCCATCAATGTAAACAATTTTTTCTGACCGACGTCATTGAAGAGGACGAGGAAGAGGCCTATGAGGACCAACCGGCGCAACAAGTGAACAAAGATTTAGAGATCTCGGTTAATGCACTGGCAGGCCTACAGGGACCAAGAACAATCCGACTGCCCGCCATGATCAAGGAACGGCCAATCGAGGTACTAGTCGACACCGGCTCATCGCATAACTTCATTTGCGACAAAG